ACTTTAATAGGGCAGGCCAAAGTGCGCTATCCCAGAGCAACCAAACAGAGTTCATACAGCAAACTGAAATCTTATTGGTTGATTCAAGTTAGTCCACTTTCTGCTGTGCTTTGTTAAAGGGAAACTATAAGATTTTTGGGTAAATGTTATGTTATCATTACTTCCTAGGTGACCCTAATAAAGCACTTAAAGTGACATTAAACCCTCAGATTTTTTAACATAAAACCATACTGTAATGTGCGCCTTACTGTAGTCCATGGTAGTTTCCCTTCTCTTTGCTGCTCTTCCTTTTAAATCTGTATCTCTTCTCATGCTGGGGCAGAACTTCCCTTTGCAGCTAAGTGCCTCTTCCTGTAGTGTTGGCTCAGGTTGTGAACCTGCACACAGACACCAAGTATCCATTTCAGAGACAAGGCAGTCTGCTGCAAAGGGAAGTTCTCCCCCAGCATGAGAAGACATGAGGATTTAAAAGGAAGAGCAGCAAAGAGAAGGGAAACAACCATGGATTACAGTAAGGCGCACATTACAGTATTGTTTTATGTTAAAAAATCTGAGGGTTTAATGTCACTTTAACTGATCCTGCTCCCTTGGCAGTCAGAGCTCACCTCTTTCCCTCTGCTGAGGCTGGTGGAATGCCTCCCCCTCTCCGGCATCTGCTTGTCTAATACAGGTCTATGGAACCTGGTTTAGACATAATGGCTTCAGCTGTCTCTTTAGGGGTCAAGAGGCTGAGGAGTGTGGCTCAGGTAGGTAAAATAGCTTTTTCCTGTCCCCTAGTCACAAACATGCACTTAACCCTTATGGTCCATGGGTAGCCCCATTGCAAGGGTAGTTTTTTGGGGGGGTTTAAATTGTATTACCAATTAACTGCTTTCTTCTTATCTTAACTGTAGTTACTTTGACTCTTCAGAGTGATAGTCAGGGTCAAAAAGTTACCTGAAGCCTTACAATGGCCACCCTGTCAATTGCCTGACTTCACACGATGTATTCCAGCTCCGGAGTGTGCACAGATATATAATGAAAGTTCAGTTCTAGCCAAAAGCTTTGGTATAATTATAATAATGTTAAACTCATTATTTAAGCGTCTGAACCCGTTTGTGGCTTGTTTTCTTTAAGTGTTCTACCTCGCCAAGAAATGTATCTGATTCCCCTTAGGAAATCCTCGTAGTTGGAAAGCAAGAGTGCCCAGGACTGCAGGGATTCTGGATTTCATGTTGTCACTCACAATATTGTATGTGAGGGGTAGTACAGTGGTGTGGTGGTTAGCACTTCTGCCTTGCAGCACTGGGGGTCCCTGGTACATATTTTAGTCAAGACCCTATGTGCAAGGAGTTTGCATGTTCTCCCTGTGCTTGCAGGTACTCTGGTTTCCTGCCACACTCCAAAGACATGCTGGAAGGTTGATTGCTCCTGTCTAGCCCTCTCGGCTCTGTATGTATCTATGTGAGATAGGGACCTTAGATTGTAAGCTTTTAGAGGGCAGGGACTGATGTGAATGTGCTGTATGTAAATGGTTGCCGCTATATAAATGCCTCTAATAAAAAATAAATAATGTCAGGGGTAGGCAACCTCAGCACACCAGCTGTTGTGGAACTACAGGTCCCATGAGGCGTTGCAAGACTCTGACAGGCACAGGCATAACTCCCAGTGGCAGAGGTATGATGGAATTTGGAGCGCTGAGGTTGCCTACCCCTGCTGTACGTTGTGTTTTTCCATTATGTCAATGGGTGTATAAGCTGAACGCAAGCACTTCATGGAGATGTAGAGTTGAGGGATCTGGATTTCCCTTCTGATATATTTTCTATTCCTGATTTACAGGCAAAGCATGGCAAACTAAACTGTAATGGGATATTTAGCTTTAATAATATCTTTAATATCTGATGTTGCCTTACTGAGGAGAATAAATGGGGCAGAGCTAATTGGAATCAAGCAGCCCAAAGCTGGAGATAACAGTAACAAATAGAGTCTATGGCTCATCTTCTATCTCAGTAATGCTTTCTATGCATGGCATTAGTTACAGGATGATATGTGTAACATCTCCCCTTACCATGGATGGCATGGATTTAAAGGGGAAGGAATGGTGGGTGCATTTATCTGCTTATTAAAATCTCCAGGACACTGGCACGGAGATCTCTTTTCATCAACTCCCTGACCTCACCATCTGCCAATAATGTGGCTTTATTCTTGGTACAAGAAAAACCTTTTGTGTGCAGTTATCTGACAAAAGAAGCAAGTCAGTCACTTAAGTTAAAGTGACATTAAACCCTCAGATTTTTTAACATAAAACAATACTGTAATGTGCGCCTTACTGTAATCCATGGTAGTTTCCCTTCTCTTTGCTGCTCTTCCTTTTAAATCTGTATCTCTTCTCATGCTGGGGCAGAACTTCCCTTTGCAGCTAAGTGCCTCTTCCTGTAGTGTTGGCTCAGGTTGTGAACCTGCACACAGACACCAAGTATCCATTGGAAGCATAACAAGGAGCCAATGCCTTATGCTCTAGTGCAAGGAACATGCTGTTAGGAAGAGAGAGCAGAGTGACAGGAGATTAACTCATCAGTTTGCTCCTTTTGCAGCAGAGAAAACTGAGACCTTCCACCTAGACAGAGCTGTGCTGTGTAAATCTCAGAACTGTATGGGCAAAAATACAAATCATGTAGGTAAGCAACTCCCTTAGTCCCCATTCACACCTGAGCATTCTGCGAACACACAGCATTCACGAAATGCGTCAAAAATGCAAAACGTGCTTGCTGTGCCCTTACCAGTAATAGGGATGCATGGCAAACACATGAACAAAACCAATACGAATGTGATTTGCATTCCTGGTACACCTAGGTGTGAATGGGGGCTAATATGTATGCCGATAGGAGGAGAACAGAGAAATAAGCTCATCGTTGTGCTGCTTCTCCTTTGACTGTTCAGTCACAGGCTGGAAGGGTAGAGGGGTCCAGGATCGCCTGGGCTCAGAGGAAATAGGTTGAATGATGCTGGCCATCAGACTGAGGACATCTAGTGGCAGAAAAAAGTACTGCGGGGGGCATTTTTTGGTTAAAAAGTGAAATATTGCAGCAAATCTGATTTTGTTATTTCATTTATATCTTATTTATTTTAACAAATACATTATTTATTATTTTAATGTTTTAAATGGCTAATAATGTGCACCTTGTTATTTTTGACTAGAGTTCTGCTTTTAACAAAGACTTTTTTTTAAATAAACTGTTTTATGCTATACAGTATATATAAATATATTTTTTTTGGGGGGGGGTAAGCGTTTAATAAAGAGGATAATTCAGCTCCGTAACCAACCCTCAGAATTACCTGTAGTTAATACGATTCATTGGGATGCAAAAAAGCATTAAAAAGTTTGTTTAATCATATTATGCGGATAATCAACAAAGGTAAATTGGTCGTCTCCTACTACGGGCAGCCCGGTGTAGAAGTTAATACATTCAGCTCATATTCATTATGCACACGCTAGTTATAATAATTTACTGTCCATTGCAAAGCTTTATAAGCATTGTAATTAAATATAAAATGCACATTAGAATTATAATGAGTAATTAGGGCGACATAACTAATATGCACAAAAGTCCCAAAGCTCATTAAAATGTTAAAAGACAATAAAAAAAAAAACCATCCTTGCAATATTATTTTGCATGCTGTCTGTAACTGAATGCCATCGCACCTAGCAGCGTATTCCTGGCCGCTTTGACATTTATAAATTGAATGCAGAATGTGTGCGAGGATATTGGACCCAGCAGACGCGGCGGGTGAATCTTGATTGACGTTAAATGGGGTTTCCCGGCAGCTTTGTGTTTTGTTTTTGTGATGGAAGCTTTCAAAAGAATTGGGTAATGTTAAAGTACTCCGCTGAACTTTCAGTTTATTGAGGGCTAAATAGGTTCCAGGTGCAGCAAAACAGAAATGCCTGTTCCCTGCAAGCTGCTATAGAGAATTGCCTTTTCTTTTCTGTGCAGAAGCAGTGGTCTCTCTGTAGAGGTCTGACACACTGCTGCTGAATGGGAATTCCCAGAAGGGGGTATTATGGACTTCTTCACTAGCAGGGGGGTATGTTGGACTTCTGCACGAATATATACACTATATTGCCAAAAGTATTGGGACACCCCTCCAAAACATTGGATTCAAGTGTTCTGTGAAATTTGCTTGTTACTAAATATTCCACGGTCACCTGTTGGTGGTATTATAACAAAGTGGAAGCAACTGGGAACAACAGCAACTCAGCCACGAAGTGGTAGGCCACATAAAATGACAGAGCGGGGTGAGCGTATCCTGAAGTGTGCAGAGAGCACACTGTGCGTAGAGAGCTTCATGGAATGGGTTTCCATGCCCGAACAGCTGCATCCAAGCCTTACATCACCAAGTGCAATGCAAAGCGTGGGATGCCGTGGTGTAAAGCACGCCGACACTGGACTCTAGAGACGTGGAGACGTGTTCTCTGGAGTGACGAATCACGCTTCTCTGTCTGGCAATCCGATGGACGTGTCTGGGTTTGGCGGTTGCCAGGAGAACGGTACTTGCCTGACTGCATTGTGCCAAGTGTAAAGTTTGGTGGAGGGGGGATTATGGTGTGGGGTTGTTTTTCAGGGGTTGGGCTTGGCCCCTTAGTTCCACTGAAGGGAACTCTTAAGACATCAACATACCAAGACATTTTGGTCATTTTCATGCTCCCAACTTTGTGGGAAGAGTTTGGGGATGGCTCCTTCCTGTTCCAACATGACTGTGCACCTGTGCATAAAGCAAGGTCCATTAAGACATGGATGGGGGAGTTAGGGGTGAAGGAACTTGACTGGCCTGCATAGAGTCCTGACCTCAACCCGATAGAACACCCTTGAAATGAATTATAGCGGGTGCTGCGAGCCAGGCCTTCTCGTCCAACATCAGCACCTGATCTCACAAATGCGCTTCTAGAAGAATGGTCAAACATTCCCATAGACACACTCCTAAACCTTGTGGACTAAATTTTTCCTCTTTTCTCTTTCCAGTCGCACCCACGATCCTGGAAATCACGCCGTCGGGGGTTTCCTTGGGAAAAACCGGATTAATCAGATGCGAAACAGCAGCCGTCCCATCGCCAACATTCGAGTGGTACAAGGGCGACAGAAAGTATGAAGATTTTTGTTATGCTTTTTCTTTTTTTTTTAGCATCATATAATGCATGAAACAATGTACTCCCTTTTCTTCTATTCTTTTATTGAAACCCAACTCCAGCCAAAACTTGGCTAAGCTTGGTCTAGCTAAACTGATATCTTATTTTTTAGCTTTGGATATAGTGGGGCTGTTGTCAGATTTTAAATGCTATCCTTGTCCCCTTTGGGGAGATTTCCACTTACTTGATGTCCTGCCTGACAATTTTATTTTTATTTTTGTCCAAGCACTTACAGTCATCATGTTTCCAAATAGCTCAAACTCTCTCAACTCTGCTTCCCTGAACTTCCTGTCCAGTACAAGATCACAAGGGACAGAGCAGTCTCCAGCAGCTGTCTATCTAGTTTGAAAAAGGGAAGACAGAGGAGCAGGGAAGTGGAGTTTGTGTTTGTGGAGACACACACAGCCTACTAGCACACACAAGGGTGGCTCCATTGGACCCTGGTACAAACAGAAGCTGCACTCCATAGATCTAACTTGATTCCACACTTTATTACTGTGCAAATAACAGATACACCATACAAAAGCTCACGCGTTTCACCTACCAAGGCTTAATCCTAGAGATCCATTGTACCCTGCAAGGGAATTGAGCCACCCTAAAACAGGATATCAGGGCCAGTGCTCAGGGGACCAGCTGATTCTGCAAGAAGCTGAAACTTTTAAATATCAAGGAGTAGCTTTCATTGTAAGTGATTTCATCAGCAGTGGAAACAGCTTGAGAACCTTTTGATCATTTTAAGCAATGGAGGGGCCGAGGAGAAGGGGGCACCATTGTTGGGCTGTGCTTGGAGCATCAATTGCCTTTAATCTGGCCCTAAAGCACAGACATTTCCCAACACTTCTAATACTCATTCACATTATCACTGAGCAGGCCCCTCTGAAATTCCCTAATTATTCAATCAATACTTGAAAGCATGGCACTGCGTGAACAATCGGAACATACACAGTCACCCTTTGTAACTGCTTTGCAAGGGAGCCTCTAAACTTGATTAATGGAAAGTCAAAGCACTCTATATTTTAAATGGCATAACACCATGGAAGTGGAGTGAAGAGGCTTGATATATTGCAGGCACACCATCTTATTTAAGAGTAAGAAAAGCCTAAGGTTACAACTTATTGTCTGACTTTGCAAAGAGCTCTTAAACCCCCAGAGTGAAACAAAGGTTTATTACTTATTAGTGTCCTTGCTACAGTAAAGTGGTGATTTAATATACTGTATAGTGTTCTATATAATATAAATCCAGACAGTACTTGGCACCACATTGCGGCATAAATGATCCCGTTTACGTTTTGACTCTTATATATGATCATAAATGGATGTGTCAGTTTGACAGAAGGCAGTTTGTGGGCTAAGGTGATAAAAGGTGCTATAGGCAACAACTCCACTCTATCTTGTGATCTGCAATGTCATGCAAGTATGGCTTGACCTCTGTTTTTTTTTTTTTTTTTTTAATGCATTGTTTTTTTTATTAGGAGTTTTAATTAGAAACAAAATAGTAGAGAAGATGGACTGTTGCAATGGTGTGGGGGTGCAGGCTGCACTGGGTGACACCATCATAGGGGATAAAAGTCAGACACTCGGTCATGGACCGGGTGACACCATCATAGGTGGTAAAGGTCAGGCACTTGGTCATGGACCGGGTGACACCATCATAGGTGGTAAAAGTCAGGCACTCCGTCATGGACCGGGTGACACCATCATAGGTGGTAAAAGTCAGGCACTCCGTCATGGACCGGGTGACACCATCATAGGTGGTAAAAGTCAGGTACTCAGTCATGGACCGGGTGACACCCTTTTAGGTGCTAAAAGTCAGGTACTCGGTCATGGACCGGTGACACCATCATAGGTGGGAAAAAACATGCACTCGGTCACGGACCGGGTGACACCATCATAGGTGGTGAAAGTCAGGCACTCGGTCATGGACCAGCTGCACGAGAGAGCAGGGGACCCGACAACATACCTTATCCCGCCGGAAGAACGACCGGCGTTCATCACCAAGATGGCCATCGGCAGTGAAGTGCATGTAACATCATTATATTCTTGCGTAATGACGTCGCACGTAATGTAATGCCATATATGCGATCACCAAGATGGCCACCGGCAGTGAAGTGCATGTGATATCATTATGTATGTGCGTAATGACGTCATGCGTAATGTAATGACATATACGCGTCAGGTGACACCCGGTGGCCGTACCGGTGACACCCAGCCTGGTGATGCCCTGCACTATTGTACTGGTACAATGAATATTGGCAGCTTTATGTACCAGCATGGAACACCATGGAATATATACAGTAGTATGGGCACACAGCTGTAAGACTAGCGTTACTCCTCTTCCCAACCCAAGTTTCACAGAATACATCCTCCTCAGAAGATCACAGTTTGCTTGTATTAGAATCCTCTCATTTCCTTTAAGTAGATCTAAACTCAATCATGGACACTTCATGTTAGCTTTAAAAGGTATCTATGGTCAAAAACTAAAAATAAATCTATATTTCTATATTGAATTCCCATAGGGTCTGTCCCACTCCTAATAACCATATCCATATAGAAGTCGGTAAACGTATCGAAGATGTCCATAGGATGTACTGTCCTGATGCAGTGACACCATTTCACTCAGCCCTATGCACTTTCATGTGTCACCACACATTAACTAAGACCACAATGTAACTGCATCATTGCTTGCTGGAAGCAATGCATGATAGGCTATGTAGTATTGAGAAATCGAGATTGCATCACATCATGCATCAGGGAAAGTATGTATTCCTGTTACAATGCTGATGTTATAACAGGATAGTGTATGCTGTGACTTAAGAACTCCTTTTACATCTCAATAAACTTTCAACAGTTTTTTATGTTTCTATATCTGCATATTTCATTCTAAGAATACCTATTGATCCTGCTGCGAAAGTCCTTGTTCATGCACTTCCTGTTTTAGGGTAACAACTGTCTCACCCTATACAGCGTTATCTCCCTGTTAAATGCACTACTGATGGAGACAACCAGCAGGCCCCTCACGCACATTGCACAGGCATGGTCCACTGTTGTCACCATCAGGAAGCCAGTCCAGAGCAATATTGTGCAACCAACACTGGAGCGAGTGCATGTAGAGCAGCCTTTCTCAACTAGGGTGCCATGGTAGTGCCTTCTGGCCTCCCCGGGGGTGTCTCAAAATTTTGTGGTAGTAGGACTGTGATGCTGAAAGAGCCTGGAGGAGATCCAGCAGCACTGAGATAGATAAGAGGGTGAAAGAAAATGTAAAAACAGGATTTTATAAAAAATAGACCCATGGCACTTTATGATACACAGGGTTTTAGCAAACTAAGCATCACCCAGCTATAATTTAGAATTAATTTAATGTAGATATTAACTTTAACTGAATGTCATTGTTTGCTTAAAAAACTTTGCATCATAAACAATGGACTTTTTAAATGAAATACTTGTTTTTATCTCTTTTTTTCATCCTTTGTTACATCTCAGTGCTGCTGACCACCTGCTGCCTCTTTACAGTCACTTGCTGTCTATATGCACTCCAGCAATTGCTGCATGCCATTTCTTAGGTTGGGTTTACTGACAACAGTGGACCATGCCTCAGTACAGTAATGTGTATTGAAATGTACTTTCCATCAGAAGCCAGGGTAACAGGCTGACAATACAGAGGCGCAGGGAGGAGCATTGTTACCCTATAACAGGAAGAGTATGATTGATCCTTCATTGTAGGATGATCAGGTATTATTTTAATGAAAACTGGAAACAGAAACATATGGAAAATGGCTTGAAATGAGAGTCCCATGTAAAAGCTTATATGAGATTTTAGTGATCGAGTTTACACAATAGAAACACCAGAACAAGGGGCGTTGCTAGACCCAGGCACCCAGGCCATGTGCCCCAGGTCTTCTACTGGTTGCCTTGGGTCTTCACAGCTTCCATGTTGTCATCTGTCAGCCAAGGGCCAAAGCCTTAATGTCTCAGTTCTGAGGGAATGCAGTAGGGAAGGAGAAATAGACCAATGAAAGAGAAGCGAGGTAAGGTATAGCCTTTCAGAAAGGGTGCCCTGGGGTGCTCCAGCTCTTTAAGACCCTAGCAAGACCCCTTCCCAGAACATAATACAGCCAGCGCAATAACAAGTTTGTCTTTCATAGGACTTCACTAATGTACACTTTTGTTTTCCCTTGCTAGACTGACAAATGGGCAGAAAGGCATCCTCATAAAGAACTACAGCACCAGATCGATCCTTCACGTCTCCAACGTAACAGAAGAACATTTTGGCAACTATACTTGTGTAGCGGTAAACAAGCTGGGTACCAGCAATGCCAGCCTGCCACTGAACCGTAAGTAGCAAGCTACAGCACGTAATTATATATTGTTATCGTGGTCTGTGGAGTGATGGTTCAGTCTTGGAGTAAATCATGGTGGGGCAGTGCAGTTTATTAGTGTTCCTGAACATGAACCAGACAGCGGTTGTCTCATTGGGGACGGTAGGTGGTGGAAGACCTGCCAATCTTCAGTGCAGTAGAGTAACTACCATATAGCTCACACTAGTAAAATGCTGTTAAAACCTCCAGTAGCATTTCTTGTAAAAGGTTGAATGCCAGAATTTGTGTATGGGACTGTGCAGAAGGTAAAGTAAAAATGTCTATTATATGGTATAAAACCAGACAAGGTAAGAACCCAACCAGACATGTTTTCGTGAAGTGAATTAAAAGGAACCAAAAAGCCATCACTTAATCAGTGTGAAGCCTTTGTAGTAAAACAAATGGTATCTGCATGACTCAAGTCCATTACAAATTCAATACATAATTGGTAGGGATGCACTGATGCTAGTAATACTCCCGATGCTTATTCTGATAGTGGAACTTTTGGTATCAGGAAGCTGGGCGGCAGGTCATTACCCGTTGCCGGCTTCCTGGTTGGCTGGGAAGCCGGCCCCATGCTCCCTCGACACTTGGTGACCAATGAGGAAACCGGGCAGCGTATAATGACTCCCCACCCAGCTTCCTTAATGTGACTCGCCACCCAGCTTCCTTAATGGGACTTCCGGTATTGGTATTCAGTATCGGCGAGTACCTAAAAAGAATATCGGTACTCGTATTCGATACTGAAAAAACTGTATTGTTGCATCCGTAATAATTGGCTTATACCCCTCTTTAGGACAATGGATAATTCTTTTTTTTGCTCCTGGGGTCAACTGTACATCTAGATAAGGGGGTTTACAGGGTACTTTTTGGTTCCTTCATGTCCACCTCATCAGAGCCTGTGTAAGTGGCCAGCGTTTCTCAACCTTTTTTTAGTCACGGCACCCTTTAAATGTAAACAAAATCTCTAGGCGCCCCAGTGTCATAGCTTTTAAGGTGGACCCCACACACAAAAAAGTGGGTTTACCCTTCACATTACAGTGTTCTCTTCAAATCAAGATCCCCCCTTCCTATCAAAGTCACCCTTTTACATCAGAAGCCCCTTTTTCATATTAGAGTCTCACCCTTTTACATCAGAGTTCCCCTTGACATCAAGAGCCTCCTCTACATCAAGAGCCACCTTTACATCAGTCTTCATTTCCCCTTTCACATCACAGCCCTACAACCACAACATTTTGGGGCACCTCTAAAGAAGTTAGAAGGCACACCAGGGTGCAAAGGCACCCTGGTTGAGAAAGGCTGAAGTATACCATTGTGTCAATCTTAAAGCCCTACTCCATACAAGCCATAGTGTCTGTATACTGCTCTGATGATGGCCAGCCTAAACAGCTGTTTGCACTCTGGAATAAGTGCCTCTCTAATATTAGACTGCATCTGTATTATAAACCAGTGGTTGTGGATGCACAGTTAGCCCCAGGGGCAAATAAGGAATGCTTTTTATGGCTCTGTTCACTATCGTAAATGCAATATGTTATTTTAATTTGTGATGGGAGTGAGTCATGCAGCTACTTTCTGCTATTACATGCTGATCCACTCATTTAGCATCCTGCATTGTATGTGTGTGTGTCTACAGAAGCCAAAGGAGTTTAGGAGACTGCAACGAGCAGAACCATGCAGACCAAACAGAAATGAATCAGGATTAGTGTACCTGAACCCTACGTGTGGGTCACTTCTGAATGCTTTTTGTTTATTACTCATTCTAAATGCCTGTGAAGTCTACTCGGCACCTTCCTTATGGAGTTCAGCAAACCCTCCCTGCTGTTCTGCCTGGCCTAATTCAATTTACAGTGAACAAAACTCAGACAGACCTAGACTAAACCAAACATTACTTTGTGCACAGAAGGGTTCCGTCCATGCTTCCATGTGACATTTATTTTTTTCTGTAACTTGATAATAGTTATTTTATGGTACAGTATTACATAGTATATTGGGTTGTGTTTTTTTATAGATAGAAAGGGAGATAAAGCATTTATATGTTTCGTACAGTTCTCTTCCAAAAACAAAAAGAGACTGTATTTATATTTGCTATAACTAGCTGTAGTTGCGTCTCCCAACAGTTCCTATGCTGGATTGTAACAGGAAATGCCAGGTTTCGTAATATGGCCATCTGGATTGGAGGAGGAAAAAGACTTCAATTGATATTTTGTTTTTTGTTTTTTTGTTTCAAAGTTTTTATTAACTTTTCAGCGGCATATAGGATACAAGACACAATGATCAACAGTGAGATGTATACATACATATCATAGAAACATGGAACCGATGATTTTTGACCAATGGCACGAACTTGCGGGACAATGGTCACCAGGTTTTGCAGGATAACATCTTGTCGGGGTGGGCTTGGGACTACCCGGATGATATTTTGGATTTTTAGAGTAAAACGATGTCCTATTAATAAAAAAAAACGAAAAAAAAGAAGTGCATCAACACTTGCACTTTAATCTTGCACAGAGTGGCAACAATGCTGTACTGCTCTTGAATTCAGAGCAGAGTTGCCAGTGGCATGTAGGCTGGGCCTGTTTGTACTACAGTAGCATGAGATGTTGCGGAGGCTGTGGATATCAGCATTGTCACTGCTGATTCACATGTCTGTAGCTTATCAATCAGCACCTTACCGCACGTAGCCCCGTCCACTGTTTTCTGGATTACCAGCACTATCTCTGATGCTAAAAATCCTCCCACAGTGTACTGCAGTGTCTGGGAGGGGAAGCGTGTGAACACAAAGCAGGATTTGGCTCAGCTAGGGAAGATAAAGAAATATGTGTGTTTACGTTATGAGGCATGATGTACATTACCTAAAAACTTGATTTGGTACTTGTTTGGACTGTCTTACAGGAGCCTTTAATTAATGACGGGGTATATTTGTATGTGGCATAGGTACTGTTCCTTCAAAAATTAAGATTATCCTTATTGGTTGTTCAGTGTTGCTCAGAATGTGGACCAACCAGCATTTCCTGAAGGACCCCATTCTGGTGGATACTGTATTTGCTGATCTATGGTCAGGGCCGGACTTACTCTCTCTGCTGCCCCAAGGCCAGGTTCCTTATGGTACTGATATCTAATAAATAAAAAAAAAAGATTGAGCCTAGCTTGGGAGGGTATAAGACTTTTTTTTTCCATTTTACATAGCCAATACCTTTTTTAATTATGCCAAATATCACATTGACCATGTGACTTCTGGCCACCAGAAGGCTCGTGGGTGTTTCCTTTCATTAGACATGAAAGTTGTTTATAGTCACACCAACTCTGTCTGATAGACCGGCAGTGAGATAGGATCAGCAAGCAGGAAGCAAAGCCTGTATATATAATGAGCAAAAGGTGTGAGACTGTGTGTGAAATCCCCTTTATTCCGGAATCTCAGCAAGGAAAAGCCCACTACTACTTCTGCTCTAAATATCACCAGTGCTTGTCATGTGACCGAACCTATCCCAGCACCACAGATTCTAGTAAGGTCACGGTGAGGTGATAACTTGACATTTATACATGCAAATATTCCTTGATGGATGGCGCGCTCATTGCTCTGTATGTTTGTCTTTCATATCAGTCTTGCATACTAATTTGTATTTCAGCTAATCTCTATGCACGGAATTAGCCTTTAAACTGTGACTTTTATGTGTGATATTGAAACTCCGCTCAGGGGAAAAAAATGTCCATTTTAAATTACTTCTTCATTTTCCAATGAGACTACCATGCACTGTTAACCATGTCAGTGCTGCAGGCTCCTGGAGTCAGGCTTACATATATAATGAGGATTGTTGATAGTGTGGCATGTCTACCACTGGGAATATTCATTTTTGATGCGTGCGGTCAGGGCAGCCATCAGGGGGGTACGGTCGATACTCATGTAAGGGGCCCGGGCAGCCTGGGGGCCCACCCGGGTCCCTTACATGACTATCGGCCAACGGTGAAGGGTGAAGAGGCGGAGGCTTGGCCTAGCAGCGCAGGGCCCCAGCATTGCCGCTCCAGCGACTTTGAGACAAGCTAGGGCCACATCAGCAAAGCTGCTCGTCTGATGTCAGACTGGCCAGAAGTGACCGCACGTTAGTGACGTGACGTCACTTCTGGCCGGTCCGGCGGCAGACGAGGCCATGTGTGCATGTAAGAGGAGCTAGAAAGGAAGGAAAGAAAGGAGGGAGGTGAGGGACGCAGCCCTGACCAGCCCACCTGAGACCCCTTCAGAGCCCACCATAGACAGTCTGAGATGGGCTGTGCAGCATATATGGTGGGCTCTGCAGGGTCACTCTCAGATGGGTCCTGTGTCCAGCGCGTCACTAAGCCCTGCGTCCAGCGCGTCACTGAGCCCGGCGTCCAGCGGCACGGTGGGGGGGGGGCCCGGCCTAAAGCCGTGTAAGGGGCCCCAAAATTTCTGATGGCTGCCCTGCGTGCGGTACTGGTCAAGGCTCAGGATACACTGTAAGTGAGGAGTGCCTAATGGCAAGACATATCATTTCTCTAGTTTTGGCTGCCAGTGGAGGACACTAGAGGGAGAATGTTGTTATAAAGCTTATATCCAGGCAGGAAGATGCTGACAAGGAAGAGCAGAATGAGCTAAGTAAAGTTCATATCAGTATGCTGCTGTTCCTTCATTGTCCAATCAACAGACTTTGAGCAGGAAGGTGACACCACTTTCTCTAGCTGAGTTAAAGTGACACTAAACTCAGGAGTTAAATCTTTAAAATACACCCAAGTACCTTAACTATTAAAGGAGAACTATGGGGTTAAGGCTTTTCCCCATAGTTCTCCTTAGGGTAACGGGAGGACACAAACTAGCGTCCTCCCGTCACCCTAGTCTCAGTATACCGCAAGCTATAGCTCGCAGTATACTGAGACGCCGCAGCTGAAGCGGATCCCGACAATTGTGCCGGGATCCGCCCAGCTGCGTGACTGACAGCTGGCTCTGCCTATCTAGAGGCAGAGCC